CCCCCCCCCCGCCGCCCTCCCCGCAACATTGTCTAAAAAGGTCCAAAACGTGCCATTATGGACACTGAGAGAAAATCAACCTGACTGGTACCTAAAACTGTTGCAATACCGAGACAGGAACGTACCATCAATTTATTTACGTATTTCTAGCCATCATCATTGCTGTTTAAGATTATCACATTTGGCTATTAATTAATATAAGTTGTTTTTAGACAATTGTATTTCTTAATTGGGACGCAGATTGTCAGAGCCAATTTGAATCAGTGCCTCGACACAGTGGAACTTTCTAGCACAAGGCACGGTAAGGCAGGGGAATTCTCGGCACGATGAAGAGTTCCGGCGTGGATAGAGTTCACGCCGAGGATATGCAGATTTGCATAACACGATTGGCTGATGTTAAATTATTCCCACGTGGCGCGCTAGCCGTATAAAAGGTTAGGGGCGTTTCCGCCCTAGTTGGAGAACTCCGCGATTCCCCCTGGAGTGGAACTCCGGCAGTTTGATCACCTGCCAACGACTCCCCGTCGCCGAAGCCTTACGACATATCCTCTGTGTTGCATGCCCGAGTTAGACCCGAGCTACCCGGTCTACAAGAGCTCCTCGATTAGCGATTAGAGATTAGAATTGTTGCAACTACGATAGAAGTGTGAAGTCATTTCTTGCCTGCGCTGTATACGACTCTACAGTGTAAGTAAAGCCATCTCTGTTTTTCCAATTGATATGAGTCCCGTCTGTGCCTAATTCCGCTCTGGTGATAGAGAGTACTCATCTGCCCGCCACGGGATCGCAGTCGCAACCCCAGCTGGCGTTCCCGAGGATTCCCGATCCTCGGTCCCCTCTCAGCCCCCACACAGATAAGAATTTTATGTTTCTGTAAAAACAAAATGAACAGCCTCCCATTGTGATCACATCATAAAATTAGGGGCAATACCTAGGGAATGGATGGTTGGTTTCATAGAAATGCGCAGAAGAGGGGAGTTTCAAGTTTTGTTTTTTTTCCAGGGCTACTGTATAGGCAAAATCATTCCATATTGGTAGTCTTAGTAAACTGATGTCATTATGTTAAAGAATCCATTAAAATAGGTGTAATATTTTTTTGCAGAATTATTAGCTCAGTGCTAGTGATAATAGTAACTATTTTTCCAGTAGACTGTTCATAGAAAACATGCTATCTTCTTGCAATTCTTTTATCTTACCATCACAGTAGCTAATAGCTGTCACCTTATACTGCTCTAATCTGTGACAGAGCCTCCTAAAATCAATGAACTCTAGTAGAATGAAAGGAATACAGAATCTACAAAAGCAGAAGTAGCATCATTCTTACATTAATCTGAACAGGTCTCTAAAATTGAGTGCAGCTGTATATTTTATTTAGATCTGAGATATTTATTGGTTATTAAAGATTGAGGTGGGGGATAAATTGGAAAAGGGGTCTGTGTACCCAGATATGTTGTTTTTTTAATTAAGAAGTTATTAATGTGCTACAAGTCTATAAGCATACTTAAGTAACTGATATTGAAAAGTGTCCATCAATCCGAGGTACAAAACAACTGAAAATACGATTCTTTGTGGTATGTACCATGTTTTCTTCTCAGGCTTTGCTATTTAATGGTCTCACCTTCCTTGCTACTCTTCCCAAAATATCTATACCATGGTTGGAGCTGAAATGGTTTGAGTCCAAAGAGAAAACTTTGCCTTTCCTGCCCATGATAATTTTATCAAAAAATATTTCATTTAAAAAAATGGGTGAAAAATTGGGTCATATATTGAAATCATGATACTTTGGTATCTAGCAGCTCACTGAACAATCTGAAGTTTTTATTTGCATGTAGGCTGACATCAACTTAAAAAAGCTTGAGGCACCATCTTTCTAGTTAAGCAAGAGCACATCAACAGCAGAGAATTATCCTGATCAGAAAAGAGCTGGTTACATTGATATATTTTTATAAGTGTATTAAAAAGAGTAATTTTCAACTAGTGAGGTAACTTGCTTATTAATAGCTTACTATTGATTCAGGGATAGAGATTTAAAAGTGTTTTTTATCTTTTTTTATTGGGAAAAACCTTTATTTACTGCAATTCAGATTCCAGTGATGTCATTAACTGTATTAGGCAAAATAACAAGCTACTGTAATTGACAGTAAGTGAATCCAGGGACCTGTTTCCAATGACTTGTTCTCATGCATGTAATGCCTATTTGGGATCTTGTGGTATTCAGCAATTTCTGACTTACAAAATGTATGGGGTAATACTTATTTCTGTTTGTGATGATCCACTCTTTTCCATAAAGACAAGTTGAAAAGGTTAGATTTTGAAGATCAATGTTTGCATACATTTATTCTTAACTGTCTTAATAAAGTTTAAACATTACCAATTTTGCATTCAAAAAATTGTCATTTGAAAAGTGCTCTTCTGCTGTTTTCTCAAGACAAAATGTATTTAAAATAAGAACCTCAGGGTAAAGCTTGCATACTAGCCAGACATGCTTTCCCTCTGATGACAGCTTTAGGACTGGTAGATATAGAATTGTTTGCACTCTTATCTGCTATCATTGTACATCAATAACATTTGCTTATTGAATGGAGAGGCCATGGTCGGTCTGAGGGTTTAGGTCCACCCAGAACAAGGTATCTAGATCATAAATCCAGTGCAAACAACGTAGTTATGCTTATTTTGGTTTGCGAAATAATGCATGTAAAACAATGAATTTTTTTTGTTTAGGTATGGCCTGCATCTCTGTTACTCCACTTGAAGCTGTGCCACTTCACAGAGAAACAGCCCAAAGACAGACATTTCGAAAGTGAGAACTTGACTGTAACACAGTGAAGAGAGCATATATCTTGAGAGAAAACCTGCCTTCTAATCTCTGTTCTCAGGGATGTTTGTGTATTTTCTGATAAACACAATTGAATCTAGGCTGTAGTTGTTTTTGGCTCAGTTGCCTATATTCATAACTGAACAATAGGGCTCTGTGAAATGGCACTGTTCTGTTTCGACTTCCGTTTTAATGGAACAACATTTTGTTTCAAATCTTGTTTAGATTCAAAACCACTGTTCTTATTTGTTTTGTCCTGCTGTTTCAATGTTGTTTTGTTTTGATGCTGTTTCAATGTTTCACCCATAGGCTATAATGGGGAAGGTTGAAACGGCCTATAACTTTGTAATTCCTAGCCTGATTTGGATGAAACTTGCGGGAATAATAGCCCCTTTGGAGGGCATGAAGTCTACCAAGTTTCAAGAAAGGAGGTATAGGAAATTTGGGGAAACTTCACCTCAAAGTCTTGAAAACAAAACTTATGTCACATGTATGTGTTGTCGTGGCAGGGTCAAACCTGCAGGCCTGCTAGCCCCTGCTGAGGCCACAAAGCCTGCCATGTTTCAAGGAGATAGGTACAGGGGTTTTGGGGAAACTGCACCTCAAGCTGCGGACAAGCAAAATGCATGACGTGGGTGACACTGTGTGTATTAAGGCCCAGCAGGTTAAAAGCTGCAGAGATGGTAGCCCCTGCTGAGGCCACAAAGCCTGCCAGCTTTCAAGGAGATAAGTGCAGGGGGAGGTCTGGGTTCTGGGGCCCTGCACCTCTAGCTGTTGACAGGCAAAACTTGGGTCATGGGTGCTTGTGGGACTGTGTGTGTGCGTATATATGTGTTAAGGTGCACCCTCAGTGGCACTGGGGCATCTACACAACGTGGCAGTGTACCCCAATGAGGCCTCCTCTTCCCTTTATTGCCTCAGTCTGGTCCAACATTGTAAACGGCAATAGGTATAAAATAACTTAGTGAGTGAGCAGCACTAGCGCAGTCGCACCAGCATCATCTCTGGTAGCCTAGCCAAAGTGTCACAGAGCCTTTCTTTTTATAAGGGAATTGAAAGCAAGAAAAGATGTTGTATTAGATATATGTTACTCGTGGTGTGCGATAGCTTATCTTGTGTTTTTATGTTTACATGTTTATTATGAAAAAAACGGAATAGTTACAGAAATGTATTTTAGGAAGCTCTTGGGTTGAAAAACCCTTTCTCAGGCTGAGGAAGCACTGGCAGTTTGTATGTCTGCTGGTCCTGGATGGAAGGAATAGTAAAGAATGTAATACAGGCAAGAAAGCCAGTCAGTGAAAATGGAAATGGAGGCATCAGGGGGTGAGGGATAGACTGGGGTGGAAGGTAGGGGGAAAGGAGGATGTTGCAGTACAGGTAGAAGTGCAGAGGTACCTGGGAGGTTGAATACCTGGCAGGTTGCAGTGTGTCAGAATTCCACTGTGTATATTGAGTCCATGAGTTTCTGTACCTATTACCTAAGAGGCTGAAGAAGTGAAGTTCATAGGCCCCGTCTCTGAGAAGTAGTTTGTAAATTCAAACAAGCACCTAAGCTCAGAAGTGCAGGTGCTTTGTCCCTGGTATAAATTCTAGAATGTACACTGCAAAGCTCTAAATGTATAGAAATAAAACATAAATGTATGCGTCTTCTGATATAAATTAAATTCTATAGTACTCTTATCCAATATAATTATAGAGTTCAAAAGAATAAATCAATGAATATAATAATAAAATAAAAGAGCCTTAAATAAAAAGGTATTCGAAATCTGAAATCCCTCTTGCTAGTAAGTAGGGAATCCTTTAGAAGATCAGTGCTGCTAGCTGTAGTTGTCTGATGCGGAGCTGCTAGATCACAGCTCACTCAACCGACACTAAGGCAGAAAGCAGGGCAGTTCAAACAATGCTTCCTTTTATGCAGTTGTTCTATCCCTCCCCCAGAGCACTGGGATTGGAAGGGACCTCAGGGAAGGGTGACAGTCACTGGCCAGCTACACAGTCAATAATAAGAACACTCCTTCCCACCTTCCCTGCTTTTCCCCCTCCCTCTGCTTAGTTTCTGTTTCCCTGCAGGCAAGCTCAGCTTAAGCTTTGAAACTAATTTTGAAACATTTTGACTTGCCTTATTTTGTTTCGAGGCTGTTTTGAAGCTCTCTAAACAAGTCAAAACAGCATTGAAAAGAAACTGCCAGTGAAATTTCACACAACCCTACTGAACAACTAGTATTTTTTTCCTCTGGAGTATTAAGAGGATAAACTTGTTAAAAGGGAGGCCAAATACTACACTAAATGGTACTATTAGGTAGCTGAAGTAAAAGACTGCCAGTATAAGTTGTTCTTGTTTTGTAATAGTTTTATCCACACTCATTTAAAAACAAAAACACACCGTGTAAAAAATATGTGCATACATATATAAAATAAATTGAAATATTTTTTCTAAATTCATTTAACTATGCTTCTTGATAATTTTGCAGCTTTCTGAAAATAAATCATGCCATCTTTTTTTTTCTGAAGAGAAACCTCATTTACCCATTCAGATTGAATTTTTTTTGTTTTTGAGTACTAACAAACCTTGAATTCACCAAAATGCAATTTACAAATGACTGAATAAATCCATTTGTTCAGACTATATTAATGTAATGTACTTAGGACAAACACACAGACATAATTAAAATGATCAAAATGTTGGTATTGTATGCAATCTACAGTGTTATTTTGCATAAAAAGGGCAAGTAGGAAAAAATTTCCATACATTAGGTATTTAATTGGCAGTTTCTGGTTATTTGAATAGAGGGTTATTTTCATTCCTAATGTACTTAATGTGAATTTTGTATTTTGGAAAGGTTGATAGGTGAAAGGTTAACTTGTGAAAGGTTTATAGCTTCTGGATTGACAGTTCTGAGAAACTGACATTCTTCATCCACAGACCTACACATAGCACAGACAGTGCTGATGCAAGCTCCTTTACATAGTTTCACTAATATGTGTCGTCTCTAATTTGGAAACGCTGTCCTGTAGCAATTAGTGTTTTGTTCCCAATCAATCCTGATTGCTTTGAGTTTGTAGACCTGGTGATGAACTCTATAATAGTTTCTGTGGCTGTACTGGCAATATTTACCTACTGAAAACTGTTGGCTTTATCTGTTCACATAGACTACAGGGTGGCTATTTATTGAGAACTGCTCTGTATCAATCCTGAGCCAACTTCACACTGATGGCAGTGAAACTTGCTAGCCCTACCACAATCTGTTGGATTGGTAGCATCATCCCTTTATGATGTCATAAAAGTCTCATGCAAAGATAAACATTCTGGTTTTCATCTTTAATTAACATCCTTTAAAAAATGTCTTTGAACAGGGTTTGATTCCCACTGACTTTTTTTTTTTACTCTTCTCTCTCGTTCTGTGCCACTATCCTGTAAGAGTTGCTTAAGAATCACACCAAATGAGGATTGGAAAGGGCCTCAGAATGTCATATAGCTTGGTGTCACTACAAACTTCCTGAGAGTGAACTCCATCCCTTCTTCCAGATCATGGATTAAGGTATTATGAAGGTATTGAACAAAACTGATCCCAGGACTGACCTCTGCGGCACTCCACTTGATACCAGCTTCCAGCTAGACCTCAAGCCATTGATTACTACCCTCTGAGCCCAACAATCCAGTCAGTCCATTCACCCAACCTATACTTCCTTAGCTTGATTGCAAGAATGCTGTGGGAGACTAGCAAGGCTTTTGATACAAAGTCACGGCATATCACATCCACTGCTCTCCCTGCATTCACAGAGCCAGCCTTATAGAAGGCAGTCAGGTTGGTCAGGCATGACTTGCCCTTGGTGAAACTATGCTTACTGTTCCTAATCACCACCTTCTCCTCTAAGTGCTTAGAAACGTATTCCTTGAGGACCTGTTCCATGATTTTTCTGGGTAGTGAGGTGAAGCTGACTAGTCTATAGTTCCCTAGCACCTCCTTCTCTTTCTTAAAGATGGGTACTATTTTTTCCCTTTTCCAATCACCTGGGACCTCTCCCAGTTTCCTTGAATTTTCAAAGATAATGGCCAGTGACTCTGCAGTCACTTTGGACAGCTCCCTCAGCACCCTCGGGTGCATTGTCAGGCCCCATGGACTTGTACACATCCAGCTTTTCTTAATAACCTGGGACCCTTCTTTCCCTTAGGGGGCTCCTTCCAGCTGTTTGCCACTGAGTAGGAGGACCCTTCTTCCCTGTCAGAATCCCTTTCCTTGGCAACTCGCAACTCTCCAGGGTCTGATGAAGCTGCATTCATTTCTTCTGGCAAGACATATTCTCCCTCAGCAGTGGGGTCCTCAGCTGCTCAAGGCTGTGCCACCCTTTGGCCCTGTTCACCATCCCATGCACTGGTAGCCCCTGCCTCATGCAAGGGGGGAAGGGGTTGGAGACCTGCACCGCTTGGCACAGCACCCGGGGTCTAGGTCCACTCTTGGATCCTCTGTTCACACTGCCTCGTGCAGGGGTTGGGGGCCCCCAGCTGCCACATGCAGATCTGGGATCTTGGTCCGCTCCCAGACCCTCCATGTACTGACCTGTACACCACACGTCCAGCCTCATGCTGGGGTTGGAGACTCGAACTTCTGTGTGCAGCTCTGGGTCTCAGTCCTCTCCCAGACCCTTTGTACACTGATCCATGCACCGTCGCCATGCTCCCTCACAGTGGGGCTGGGGATGCAACCTATTGTCACTCCCCATCTGGTGAAGCATCTTCTGGGCTCTTGTGGGGCAACTGCTCTGCCCTGCTGGCCATCTCTGCCACCTTTTCTTAGCTCTCTTCTATGTCCCTCCTCACAGTCACCTGTGTGCCAGGCACACTGCCTTTTTAACCTCTTTGGAGGCTCCACTCCCGCATTGGGAACAGACCAATCGGAGAGAGGGGGTGTTAGTCCCCTCTCTGGTCCTCTGGGTAAGGGTGGGGCAAGCCTCCCCCCTGCCATCACCTGATTGGTGGGGAAGGGGAAACTGCCCCACCAATCACCTTGAGCCTCCTTGAAGGTGGTGGGCTGGGCTGCTGC